CATCACGTTCGCCTAACATGCGAAAGGTCCCCGGCTCAAAACCGGGCAGAAACACTCTTCTTTGATCCTGATCAACTTCAAAGAACTCAACCAAGAAAAGTTATCGGGAATCGAGATAGAGTTAAAAGCATTTCAGAAATATGGCAGTAGAATGTTGAGTCTTGTCAAGACAATTGTTGGCTGAGCAAGACAATTGTTTGTTGAGCATGGCTTTTGAATTGTACAGCTTTGGCTCTCTGTGTATTCAAATCGAAGAGGCTTGTCGTCCTGTGAACAACTGAAGGTTGTTAATAGCAGTTATGCTTAGGGTACTTCAATTCTGCAACCAATGACTTTATTTTCGTTCCTGCTCAAAATGTGTCTGGTCACAATGGAAAATATAAAGGGATTTCTTGCCTTGCTTGATTTTGTCTGTCAAAAGTGCAATCGTTGAGCGCATTGCCGTGGTCATTGATTGTAGTTCTCCTTCAATGATTTGAACCATGCACTTGGTAGCTTTCTCATGATTGTTATAATGATGACCGTACGAAAGCTCAGTTGCCATGTTTCAGGTAAGTGCTTATCTGAAAGTGTTTCCAAGGCCCTCTTGGTGGCATCCTCGTTCATGAGTTGATTGATGCTTGCCTCCTTTGTTGAATAAAGGCCCGCTGTTATTGAAAATTCTCCCCGTCGGGGAATCGAACGCCGGTCTTCTGCGTGACAGGCAGAGATACTGTCCACTATACTAACGAGGAACCCTATAGCAACAATCCTAGCACGTCAATCCTAGCACGTCAACCCTAGGTGGCGCTCTTCGAGGGGTTACAGGTCATATCCAGGATAGCATTTGGGTCCAGTATACAGTTGCTGTCACGAAAGTCCATGAAGCTGCAGCTGTGACTGGATCCAGTGTAAAATCTCTCCGAGTCTCAGAGATCAACATGTGGTCCGTCGTTTTGAAGGTTTACAATTAAATATCAATGTTGCATCTACGCGCAAACGTGTACTTAGCTTTTCAGCAGTTTCTGTAGTGTAGTGGTCATCACGTTCGCCTCACACGCGAAAGGTCCCCGGCTCAAAACCGGGCAGAAACACTCTTCTTTGATCCTGATCAACTTCAAAGAACTCAACCAAGAACATTTAAGAGAAAAAAGCACTTTCAGAAATATGGCAGTTGAATGTGGAGTCTATACAAGACAATTGTTGGATGAGCAAGGCAATTGTTTGTTGAGCATGGCTTTTGAATTATACGGCTTTGGCTTTCCGTGTATTCAAATCGAAGAGGCATGTTGTCCTGTGAACAACTGAATGTTGTTAATAGCAGTTATGCTTAGGGTACTTCAATTCAGCATGCACTTGGTAGCTTTGTCATGATTGTTATAATGATGACCGTACGAAAGTTCAGTTGCCGTGGTTCAGGTAAGCGCTTATCTGAAAGTGTTTCCAAGGGCATCTTGGTGGCATCCTCGTTCATGAGTTGATTGATGCTTGCCTCCTTTGGTGAATAAAGGCCAGCTGTTATTGAAAATTCTCCCCGTCGGGGAATCGAACCCCGGTCTTCTGCGTGACAAGCAGAGATACTGTCCACTATACTAACGAGGAACCCTATAGCAGCAATCCTAGCACGTCAACCCTAGGTGGCGCTCTTCGAGGGGTTACAGGTAATATCCAGGATAGCATTTGGGTCCAGTATACAGTTGCTGTCACGAAAGTCAATGACGCTGCAGCCGTGACTGGATCCAGTGTAAAATCTCTCCGAGTCTCAGAAATCAACATGGGGTCCGTCGTTTTGAAGGTTTTCAATTTAATATCAATGTTGCATCTAGGCGCAAATGTGTACTTAGCTATTCAGCTGTTTCTGTAGTGTAGTGGTCATCACGTTCGCCTAACACGCGAAAGGTCCCCGGCTCAAAACCGGGCAGAAACACTCTTCTTTGATCCTGATCAACTTCAATGAACTCAACCAAGAAAAGTTATGGGGAATCGAGATAGAGTAAAAAGCACTTTCAGAAATATGGCAGTAGAATGTTGAGTCTTGTCAAGACAATTGTTGGCTGAGCAAGACAATTGTTTGTTGAGCATGGCTTTTGAATTGTACGGCTTTGGCTCTCTGTGTATTCAAATCGAAGAGGCTTGTCGTCCTGTGAACAACTGAAGGTTGTTAATAGCAGTTATGCTTAGGGTACTTCAATTCTGCAACCAATGACTTTATTTTCGTTCCTGCTCAAAATGTGTCTGGTCACAATGGAAAATATAAAGGGATTTCTTGCCTTGCTTGATTTTGTCTGTCAAAAGTGCAATCGTTGAGCGCATTGCCGTGGTCATTGATTGTAGTTCTCCTTCAATGATTTGAACCATGCACTTGGTAGCTTTCTCATGATTGTTATAATGATGACCGTACGAAAGTTCAGTTGCCATGGTTCAGGTAAGCGCTTATCTGAAAGTGTTTCCAAGAGCATCTTGGTGGAATCCTCGTTCATGAGTTGATTGATGCTTGCCTCCTTTGGTGAATAAAGGCCGGCTGTTATTGAAAATTCTCCCCGTCGGGGAATCGAACCCCAGTCTTCTGCGTGACGAGCAGAGATACTGTCCACTATACTAACGTGGAACCCTATAGCAACAATCCTAGCATGTCAACCCTAGGTGGCGCTCTTCGAGGGGTTACAGGTCATATCCAGGATAGCATTTGGTTCCAGTATACAGTTGCTGTAACGAAAGTCAATGACACTGCAGCCGTGACTGGATCCAGTGTAAAATCTCTCCGAGTCTCAGAAATCAACATGGGGTCCGTGGTTTTGAAGGTTTTCAATTTAATATCAATGTTGCATCTAGGCATAAATGTGTACTTAGCTATTCAGCAGTTTCTGTAGTGTAGTGGTCATCACGTTCGCCTAACATGCCGTGTAAGCCGTGTATACCCATAGACTTAGAGAAGACTTTCTATTGGCCAGAAGCCTCTTCAAAAGAACGACGGTTCAAATCCCACCTGACCCAAACTAAATTTCACATTCAGTTTAAAAATGTTGCTCATTATCCACAAACACTACATTTAAATTTTCAAACGTTTAAAGTTAAAGTTGAAACAGATATTTGGAGTTAGAAATGAATTATTCTTTGCTTGCTGCTTCTTATAATAGTTATTTTAATCTTAATATATAGCAATAATAACACAAATAATGATATATTAATATTAGTAATAATAATGTTTTATATAATATTTTTGTATTTTTACTTATAATTAATATTTTAAATATGTTGATTGTATAGATGTTTACATTGAGCATATGAGTGTGTTTCATTTTATATCACTATTACTTCCTCTATCAAGTAAAGACAGCCACAGTGATGCATTCAAGATCATTTATTCAAAAACAGAAATATTAAAAATAGAACAACAAATATATTAAAAACACTGAAAACACAATACAGAGAGAACAATCAGATCCTGAAAAAAGGATTTAACCATATTATATTCTTTGTATTTTTGGACTATATGATATGTTGTATTGCACCTTAATATTTATTATAATATTATAATTTAGCAGAAGATAGTGTATGGTTTTGTTATAGATTTGTTTGATCTCACCACCATCCATTATCTGAAATGTTTTTCACCTCATGCTCTTGTATGGTTACTATTCTGCATTCTATTCTCATTTTAGTGATGTATACCCTCTTACTTGGTATTTGTTTAATTGTATTCTAGTGCAATAATTATATGTATTCTAGTGCAATTATTGTTCATTTATTTATTCTAGTATATAATATTCTAGTGCAACATTTAAATACATTACATGTTTAAGGCTCCAGCACTGACAAGGTTGGAGTGGAGGACCCATAGAAATCCTTGAAATGATTATTATTCTTTATTATTAATTGAGTTTTTTGAGGGCATTAACCAAAACTGTTTTGTTATTGGCAGGATTGGCAGGACTGGTGAAAAGGCTGATAGTTTAGGGGTCTCGTTTGTGTTGCAGGCAAAACGTCTTAGTTTGTATGTTAGTATGCAACTTAGTAGACCCAGGAAGTGGCGTGTGCATGTGTGTATGTGAGGGTAGGTTAGGGCTTCCTTTTGTCTGCAATCCATCTGTCCCTTTCAGCATCATAGAAGTCCGACTGCTGGAAGTCCGGCCACGTCATCTCCTTCTCCATGCCCTGTGCATTATATAAGGAGAAGACTCTGGAGTGGCAGTAGATGTACTTCCCTGGAACCCCTGGGAAGTATGCATGGGTATGAGGGCTGTTGGGACCCTGCTTCAGTGGTTGGTGACAAAACCTGCAGAGACGGCCTGTTGGCAGCTGCACAGCTGCCTTCCTCTTCCCTCTCTCCTCTGCAACCTTTCTCCACTCTGCCCCCCTCTGTCTGGCAGCCTCCAGCTCTCGCTCAAAAAACGGAGTTGCAGCAAAGTTCTCAAAAGACATCCTGGTGTCTTTGAGGCCATCTTTAGCATAGGTCTGAAAGACCTTGGTGGAGCAGTAAAAGTATTTTACCGTTTTTGACTGGTAAAAAAAATGAACTGAAGAGCCATCCCCAAGATATCTGGATTTAGGCTGACCGCAGGCTAAACAGTTTCTCATCCGCATCTTTTTCTGAGGCTGTTGTTGCTGCTGCTGCTGATGCTGCTGTTGCTGTTGTTTTGCCAGGACGTCTGACACAATCTTCTCCACTGAAGCCCTGCTCAGTGAGTCCTCCTGTCTGGGAGCCACAGCTGGAGGGTTGCATATGGCAGGTGGCAGAGTTATGACAGGCACACTGATAGTTTGGCTACCTGAGGTCAAACTATGCCACAGCTGCTGTGTCTCTAAGACCTTTTCTGGGGATGTGTTGAGGGAAGAGCTGTTGTTTTTTAATTTTGCAAGATGTTTCACATATCGTGAGATATGTTGGACTGTGGTCGGGTGAAGGAGGCTGTTCCGGTCTGTGCATCCCCTCTGGACCATGGCAGCGTAGTCCGCATCCACCCGCTTCAGGACATCTTTGGCACCACGGTGGTTTACCAGAAGCTCGTCGATGGCAGCTTTCATGGGTTCTGTCCACTGACCAAGACTTGAATGAGGCCACCAGTTTTAATTGGTCCAGTGCGGGTGGCTCGAGGAGAGGAGGACTGAGGCAGCGGTGCTACCCCTGTCAAGTCTAAAAAAGAAATATATGTTAATTATATTGTTTTATGCCAGTGTGTTGCAAATCAATTAGCTCTTTTAGTCATTTCACTTCACAGCTAATTTAACTTTTGTGGGACAAATACATGATTATCTTATATTCCTACCTCTTGTTCTATTATGCTTTTCAATGGCTTTTACAGTTTGCATACACTTGCTTAATGATTGTTGTTAATAAACAATATTTCAACATGATGATATTACATATATTATGTGCACGCCTGTTTTTAACAGTGAGGTAGTGTAGGTAGGTAATTTGAATGACCTGTATCTATCAAAGGCTCTGGTTTTTGTGTGGCAGAGGCTTGTGTCAAAGGCAGCAGGGACTTGGTCACAACATCAGAGGACTGCCGGGAACTGGAAGACAGAATTGGCACTGCCCCAACTGGATCAACACAGGATTCCTGAAATAGCACAAATATAGTGAATTAGTTAGTCAGCCAGTCTGTCAGTACTTGACAGTAAGTAGATATAAATATGAACTGGATTACCTGAGAGTCTGTGCCCACTACAACAGTAGGGGCAGGGCAATGATGCTCTGTCTCCATGGCTACTGCCGCTGGGTTGTTTGGCTGTGCCCTGTTCTTGTCCCAGTTCAAAACAACAGGACGACAGCCTGGCTCCACGTACTGCAGTCCAAATCTCTCCCCCGTGTCCCTGTTGGAGAGCTGCAGTGCTGGGTATTTGGACCTTCCTGTCACTTTTACAGAGATGGTGTTAAGCTCTGAAATCAACCGGGGGTCAAACACGGCTGGCAGCTCCACATCTGGCTGTTTCAGGTCCACCAGCCTCTGGTAGTTCCAGCGCACAACTCCAGTCATAGCTTGGGCCTGGAATAATTCACAGGACACCCGGTTGCCTGTCACCCATTGGGCTTGGTGTCCGTGGAAACCCTCCTGCTGATAGGTGCCTCTCACAGGGATCCACACAGGCACGGCAGCTCCCTCGCCCTTGTTGTAATTCAGCTGCAGGGTGCCACCATACCTGTAGAGGATTCCCTCTCCCACTTCAGGGTCGCTCAGGCAGCCTCGGAGGATGTGGATGCGCTGGATCCTCCACACCTTTAACATTGAGTCTTTGAAAAGGAGCAAATCATTGGCATCCTTTGCCATGTAATAGTGATGGAGGACGTCTTCCACTCTTTGCAGCAGTTTCATTGGCTGTGGCACCTTTGTCCTGCAGTGCTCTCTTATGTGCTGCTTTGTGGGGTTAGCAGGAGAAATTCTGCAGAACGTGTACGCCTCCTTCAGCTTCTGGAGATCGCTGTGGTCCACCACAACGAACACTGCTGAGAGGAACTGGCAGAAGGAGCTGTACAAAGAATGATGCTCGGAGACACACTCCCTGGTAAACCGCCGCATACAATGAAACAAGTCCAACTTGACAATAATGTCTTTGTTAAACTTGTTCCTTGATGCGCAAATGTTCTTGAGATTTCCAGAGGTGGCCTCTGCCAGGATAGCATCTGTGGTCCTCCAGCTGTCCAACAAGTGCTCCTGAGCCCCAGGTTGAAGGACCTTGAAGGCAGCGCAGCAGTCCCTAAAGCATTAAAAAGAAATGTCATTACAGCTGAAAACCTTGTACAATATCTTCGTACAAAATTAGTGTAATAATTAACTGTAATTATTCATGTGTATTATATTTATGAAGAGTCAGATTACAGAATTAAATGCAGAATTAAAAAAACAACAACAAAAAAAAGAATCAACTGTTTTCAATTTAAACTTGTTGTTTATACCTGTCCACCCACTGGTAGCGTGCCTTCTCCACTCCAGCCACAGTGTAGCGTTGAGACAGACCCTCATACAACGGGTTAAGGGACCTATCACACTCTGACTGCAGCATCACCCAGCTCAGGATCATCCAGTTCTCATTCATGATGGCATAGGAAGACATGGTGCCAGACGACAGCACAACCTTCCTAGCCACTCTGCGAGTGTGATCAGACCTCAGGGCCTGTCCAAAGGTCCCCTGAAGCAGTAGAGTAAGGAGCTCCTCCTGCCGCTGATACTCACGGACCAGGCACTCCACCAGGTAGTGGGAAGAGACAGAAACTCCACACCAGCCATCACCATCCGAGTATCCACCAAATGGAGCCAGAGTATCTTCCTGTCTGAGGAACCCAGTGATGGTCCTTTGGCCGTAGACTCCTGCCTCAGCATCCCTGACATTCTGCACACACAGCAAGTAGGCCAGGTGAGCTCTCTCATATTTGAGATTGAGCGCCTCCGTCAGCTGCTTGGACATGTCCTCTGGGGATCTGCCGCTGCGCCTCATCTCATCCAGTACAGATTTGCAGACGGCCTTTTTGTGCGTCAGGAAGGCCGGCACGATGTTGCTGATGCGCTGGGGTAGCTTCTCCAGCCACTGGGGCTTGTCAGCATGCTAGTACTTTTTGCAGACCTTGCAGGTGAGTCGCGAAGCTAAAATATAGTACTGGCCACTTGTCCCAAAGATGACTCTTGGCCTTCCAATGCCAGAAGAAACTACCTGAGGGTTCGGACAACCATAGAGACAGGGCAAGACAAAGTTGTTTCTCACCCTCTCCATGATCGCGTGCTCTGGCTTCCAAATGAAATATGGATGAAGCTGATAGTACTTGGGTGAAGGCAGGTCAGAGATTGAGTCTATGAGCTCAGGCTGAGGCGGATAACGCCACAGGGACAACATGTTCATTAGGTGTCTCACTGGACGTGAACCTGGCCACAGACCCAATGTGTCCAACTCAGTCTTCATCCAAATCTTCTGCTGGTGCGAGCAGTTCCAGTGGGCAACATCCTCACTATAGCCCGGAACAGAGGCTGCAGGCTGGTGTGGTGCTGCTAAGGGGACAGGAGGCACTGGGCAAGTCAGAGCTGTAAAACACAGTAAAACACACAGTTACATCAGATAAAATTGAATAAAGCTCTATATAAATGACTGCTATAATACAGTGTCACCGATATCCATACCTTCATCGAGGACAGTGTCTCCCTGCGCTTCCACAGGGGCTATATTATGTGGGGATGAATCTGGGAGGATGAGATACAAACAGGCAAGTGACGTATACACATTATCGAAATTAAGAAGCAGCATTTAAGAAGTTGTGAAAAATGAAAACAGAGACGATGATATCATTACTTAACTTTACCTAAAACGTGAGCTATACTGTATGACACCGTGACAATGTGATTTGTCAGAATGAAATGTAAGTTTCTGCGAGATACACTGGTAGTATAAGAAGAACACATACTTTGTCTCAACACATTTGGCGCCTGCTCTTCTATCCCGAGCTTTGGGGCAATTGCGAGCAGCTGAGGAGGGACCGGCAGCGGTGCCTTCACTGTGGCTGAAGGATGAAAGGCGGAAACAAACATGAGGGTATATATACATAATATGTATGAAAAAGATTCAAGATGGATCCAAGTGAGGAGTATAAAAACCCAATAACTTTTCAGAGGAGCAGGTCCATCGGGTCTGGACACAGTGGCAGTGGCAGTTGGATAAGTCCTGTGGGCTGTAGAAACAATCCTGTGTCACTTTCCTCAAGTGTTAAGTTGTTTCAAGCTTCACAATCTGTCTATATCTGTCGTCTCTTTAGCAGAATGAAAATACCCTGTTGTATTAACTTGTGAATCCCAATTATTTGAAATAGAAAAACATAATGTCTATATGTGTTTGGAAACAGGTAAAGCAGAGAAACAGTATACATATATAGCAAGCACATCTTTCATTCAAAGGTGTGGCATGATATCTTAGAGGGTAAGAAGCTAGGTGTTCTAAGCCACTGCAATATTTAAAATGCCAAATCCTTGTATGACAGTCTAAAAAAAAGCATGCAAAAACGGAAAAACACTTACCATCATTGCTGACATGTTAATTCCTTCAGTTAGTTGGAGAACAGAATGTGTTTTTGGATATTTGTGGAGTTAGGTGGTCCGTGAGTATTTTTTTATTGGTTAAGTGGTCCTTGGTATGAAAAAGTTTGAGAAACACTGCCCTAAAGCAAAACACTAATGTTTTTGTTTCTTCATAAGTGCTTCTCTTTGGGGTTGTCTTGATTGTGAGGAATTCAACAGAAATATTGTTTCTCAAATGCTCACAATTGATTGCATCAATTTGTATCTGATTCCATCACATACAATATCATTTCAGTCTTCAGAGTTCAGATTTGGTCATTATGATAACCTTTACAAAAACACTAACTTTGTTCCAATTATAGTAAGTGCTTTTGTTGGGGTAGTTTTGCTGACCCTGCATCATCCAGCGTGTTATCTATATGTTAATATGCAATGTTACATTTGACGTTTTCTTTAAAGACGAAAAGAAAAGTCAGAGAAGATGGTGGAAAACCCCACGTGGAAACTCGTAAGCCATGAAGAGGTGCAAGTCTTTGATATTGAACCAACTTGAGCATTGGTCTGAGTCTGAATTCAATAAGTGCTTCTCGTTGGGGCGGTTGAACATGACAAATGCTACAGACTGTAAAGGAAGAATGATATGTCATTGAAATCTCATTCAGATTACCCTAAAGCAAAACACTAATGTTTTTGTTTCTTCATAAGTGCTTCTCTTTGGGGTTGTCTTGGTTGTTAGGAATTCAACAGAAATATTGTTTCTCAAATGCTCACCATTTATTGCATGTATTTGTCACCAAAATTACCCAAACACAGGCACTGACTTGAGTGTAATGCAGTAAGTGCTACTTGTTGGGGTAGTTTTGTTGACCTTTAATTCTCCCAGTGTGTTAGATGTACGTTAGTAGTCAACTTTAGTAAGATATGCACATTTCAACTGTAGTCTATGTCTTTGAGTCTTTGACAGAATGCAGTCACCTCCCAACTTCAAAATGAGTCATTATTCTGTACTATATTACTACAGAAGTTACCTGTAGATTGCATATTATTTACTTGCAGTGATACACATTATCTCAAGATTCGATTTGGAGACTTAAGCTGAATGTGCCTTCTGAAGTGGATATTCATTGCCTGAGCTTCTTAGCATTGTTCAAGTATTGCTGCTGCTGCCAGAGTTTCAACGAGAAACATCAACAACTCTGATTGACCACTTGTTAGGTGATAGCAGTCCGTTCATATCAGGTGATGGTTGAGAGTGCGGGTGTTTACTAACAATGGTCGTTGACAGCAATCAAAAATGAGGCGGGGTTGGCTGGAAATGTTTGCATTCAGTAAGGCAAGGCAAGTTTATTTATATAGCACTTTTCAACACAAGGCAATTCAAAGTGCTTTACAAAAAATGAAAGAGATTAAGAAAATGGCATTTAAAATCAGTCATTAAAAAGAAAAGCTAATAAAATAAACATTAAAAGAAAAAATACATGGATAAAAGTTACAGTGCAGTCAATTAAACATTAAAAGAAAAAAAGTACATGGATAAAAGTTACAGTGCAGTCTAAGATATGAATAGTTCAATTAAAAGCAGCGACAAAAAGAAAAGTCTTCAGTCTGGATTTAAAAGTAGTCAGAGTTGCAGCGGACCTGCAGGTTTCTGGGAGTTTGTTCCAGATATTTGGAGCATAATAACTGAACGCTGCTTTACCATGTTTAGTTCTGACTCTGGGGACAGAAAGCTGACCAGTCCCTGAAGACCTGAGATATCTGGATGGTTCATAATTTAGCAGGAGGTCAGAAATGTATTTTGGGCCTAAACCATTCAGTGCTTTATAAACCAGCAGCAGTATTTTGAAATCTATTCTTTGACACACAGGAAGCCAGTGTAAAGACTTCAGAACAGGAGTGATGTGATCCACTTTCTTAGTGTTAGTGAGGACTCGAGCAGCGGCGTTCTGAATCAGCTGCAGCTTCCTAATAGATTTTTTAGTGAGACCTGTGAAGACACCATTACAGTAGTCCAGTCTACTGAAGATAAAAGCATGGACAAGTTTTTCCAAATCCTGCTGTGACATTAGTCTTTTAATCCTAGATATATTCTTTAGGTGATAGTCGGCTGATTTAGTAACAGTTTTAATGTGACTGTTGAAACTCAGGTCAGAGTCCATGACTACACCTAGATTTCTGGCTTTATCTGTTGTTTTGAACATTGCAGGCTGAAGCTCAGTGCTAACTTTTATACGTTCTGACTTGGCTCCAAAAACCATTACCTCAGTTTTATCTTTGTTTAATTGGAGAAAGTTCTGACACATCCAGTCATTGATTTGTTCAATGCACTTACTCAGTGTTACGTAAATTTGTGTGTCATCTGCATAGCTATGGTAACTTATTTTGTTGTTCTTCATTATCTGAGCCAGTGGTAGCATGTAGATGTTAAAGAGAAGAGGCCCCAAGATGGAGCCTTGAGGAACCCCACATGTCATATTTGTCAACTCAGATGTGTATTTATCTATAGAAACAAAGTTGTTTCTGTCCTTTAAGTAGGATTCAAACCAATTCAGAACTGTTTCCGAAAGTCCCACCCAGTTTTCCAGTCGGTCTAGTAATATGCTGTGGTCAACAGTGTCAAACGCAGCACTGAGATCTAATAATACTAACACTGAAGTTCTGCCACTGTCTGTGTTTAAGTGGATGTCATTAAAGACCTTTACAAGAGCAGTCTCAGTGCTGTGGTTTGGACGAAAGCCTGACTGGAACACATCAAAACAGTTATTTAAATGCAAGAAATTACTCAACTGTTGAAAAACAACTTTTTCAATGATTTTACCTAGAAATGGGAGGTTTGATATGGGCCTGTAATTGTTCATTACTGAAGCATCTAGATTATTATTTTTTAAGAGCGGTTTAATGACTGTAGTTTTCAGGGCCTGTGGAAAAATACCTGAGTGAAGAGATTTGTTTACTATATGAAGTAGATCTGAGGCCATGCAAGGCAAAACATCTTTGAAAAATCCTGTTGGAATAATATCAAGGCAGCAGGAGGAGGATTTCAGAAGTTGAATAATGTCCTCTAGGTTTTTATCATTAATCTGATGGAATTGTGTCATGATGTCTGAATTGATGTTAAGTGGAGATAGGGACAACACATTTGCTGTTCCTGATGCAGAGGCACTGACTGCTTGTCTGATTTTCTGAATTTTGTCAGTGAAAAAGGAGGCAAAATCATTGCACGCCCTGGTGGATAGAAATTCAGAGGCTACTGACACTAGTTAGTCTGTCGACGGTAGCAAACAAGGCACGTGCGTTGTTTTTGTTTTTGGTAATGATGTCAGAGAAGAACGATTGTCGTGCGTTTTTCAATTCCAAATTATAAAGGCCAAGTCTCTCTTTATAGATTTCAAAGTGAACCTGGAGATTTGTTTTTCGCCACCTGCGTTCAGCTTTTCAACATTCTCTTTTTTCTGTTTTCACGCTCATGGCCTTTCTCCATGGAGATATTTTCTTGCCAGACACTTCCTTTAACCTAGTTGAAGCAATGGCATCTATAACATTTTTAATTTTTGAATTAAAATGATCTACTAGCTCATTTACTGAGATGTTGGCAGGGGCAAGTGTGGAAGAGAAATTCTGAGTAAACATTTCCCTAGTATTTTCAGTTCAATATCGCTTTGTGGTTACCTCTTTTTGAACATTTTTGTGAACAGAAATAGAGCTCTCAAAGAAAACACAGGAATGGTCAGAGAGTGCAACATCAGTCACCACAACCTTAGAGATATTCACACCCTTTGAGATAATTAAGTCCAGAGTGTGCCCCTTATTGTGCGTGGGCTCCGTCACATGCTGAGTCAGTCCATAGCTATCAAGAACACAAAATAGTTCTTTAGCCCCTCTGTCCTGGGGGTTGTCAACATGGATGTTAAAATCACCAACAATGACTAGACGGTCAAAGTCAATACACACTATAGACAGCAGTTCAGTAAAGTCATCAAAAAAGCTTGCACAGTATTTGGGTGGTCTATAGATATTTAGGAACAGAGCTCGAGAGGAGCATTTCAGCCGAAGGGCCACATATTCAAAAGAATCAAAGTTTCCATACGATGTCTTCCTGCATTGAAGGGAATCATTGAACAGAATAGCAACTCCACCCCCTTTCTTATGCATTCTTTCCTGACTCATAAAACTAAAGTTGGGAGGTGTTGATTCGATAAGAACAGCTGCACTGTTATTTTGTTCAATCCAAGTTTCTGTTAAAAACATAAAATCGAGATTGTGCTCAGTGATAAAATCATTGATTAAAAATGTTTTTCCTGCCAAAGACCTGACATTTAATAAAGCTAGTTTAAGTTTGTTAAACACACTATCAGTCATGTTTTTTGTAACAAGCTGTGGCTGACATGGAATCACTGCTAAATTAGATACACTCACACAAACGTTTGAGCGCTTCCTGTTTCTATGATTCACCGCTCTTAATCTATTACCTATCAACACAGATATCGGCAAAGCTACTGGCAGGCAGGGCCCCGACATGTCCTGGAAAGAGTTGAGAGTGCCATACGCCCTTGAGCCTGGACCCATCACATATCAGTAAGAG